CCCCTCCCCCCCCCCCCCCCTCCCGCCCCCCCTCCCCCCCCCCCCCCCATCCTCCTCTCCTCCTCCTCCTCCTCCTCCCCTCCTCCTCCTCCTCCTCCTCCTCCTCCTCCTCCTCCTCCTCCTCCTCCTCCGCCTCCGCCTCCGCCTCCTCCTCCTCCTCCGCCTCTGCCTCTCCTTCCTCCTCCTCCTCCTCCTCCTCCTCCTCCTCCTCTCCTCCTCCTCCTCCCCTCCTCCTCCTCCTCCTCTCCTCCTCCTCTCCTCCTCCTCCCCTCTCCTCCTCCGCTCCTCCGCCTCCTCCGCCTCCTCCGCCCTCCTCCGCCTCCTCCGCCTCCGCCCTCCTCCTCCCTCCTCCGCCTCTCCTCCCTCCTCCTCCTCCTCCTCCTCCTCCTCCTCCTCCTCCTCCTCCTCCTCCTCCTCCTCCTCCTCCTCCTCCCCTCCTCCTCCTCCTCCTCCTCCGGCCGCGGGGCGCGTGTCCGACCGCGAAGCCCGCCCGCCGCGCGGCCGCTTGGCCTGCGGCCTGCGGTCCCACCGCCAGGCGCCACACCTCCTCCAGGAAGCACAGCACCAGCGCGGTCCCACCGCCAGGCGCCGCTCGGCCCAGCAGCGCCGCAGCCGCCCCGGACGCCCCCGCGCCGCCGCCGCGGGCCGCCACGCCACAAGCCGTCGCCCCGCCGCCGGCTTGCGCCGGGCGCCTGCCGCGCCGCCGGCAAAAGCAGCCGCGCCTGCCCCGCGCCCGCCTGCCGCCGCCCGCGGCCCGAGCAGCTCCGGCAGCAGCCTGGCGCCCCTGCCCAGCTCGCCCTCCTGCTCCGAGCGCCCGGCGTAGCCTCCCCGCCCAGCAGCCCGCGCCCGCCCTGCCGGCCGCGCAGCGCCCGAGCCAGAGCGCGCCCCGCCGCCACGCCGCCGGCCGCGGCCCGGCGCCCCGCGCCAGAGCCCAGCTGCAGTGCCCAGCAGCGCAGCGCCTCAGCCCCGCGCAGCAGCAGCCGCCCGGCGCAGCGCCCAGCAGCACGCCGCAGGCCTAGGCCGCGGCCCCGGTGCAGCCTCAGCGCAGCCCGGCCGCGCGCCGCAGCTGGTGGGCCAGCTCCCGCTGCAGCGCGCAGCTGAGCACCCGGTAGGCTCGCGCAAGTTCTTCCTGCTGCGAGTCCTCCGGGAGCTCCCTGGCCAGCGCCAGCAGCCAAGCCCGCGCCTCCCCGCCGAGCCGGCCGCCTGTCTCCACGGCGAACGCCGTGAGGCGCTCGCCTGGGTAGCGGGTGTGTTTGGCGCGCTCGGCCCGGCGGGCTGCCTCGCCTGCGCGCCTTGCCGCCGCGCGCACGGCGGGCTCGTCGCCTGCCGCTGGGTGGCGGACAGTCACGTCCAGCCAGCGCCGGCCGTCGAGGTCGTTATACTCGACGTCCAAGATAGCCCGCTCCAGGACCGGCGCCTGCCCCCGCCGCGGCGCGCGAGCCCTGTCCCAGGTGGGCACCCGCTGTTCGTACTGCAGCGAGCAGCGGCGCCACCTGCCAGCGAGGCTGCCCGCGGCGCGCGCCACGCCCGCGCGCCGCTTGACGACGCCTCCGCCCGGCTGACACACGGCCGCGTGGAATCCCGCCGCATCCAACGGCGCTTGGCACGGCACCCCGCCAGCCGTCAGGTTCTGGCACGTCGCCGCCGCTCGCGCGAGCTCGTCAAAGGAGCACTCCGGCCGCGGCAGCTGGACGCGGCTGCGGGTCGCCGTCTGCCAGTGCGGGCCCTCTAGCGTGCAGGCCAGCTCCGCGGGGTACTGGAGGTAGGCGCCGGCCCCGGGCCCCCCCGCGGACAGCAGCAACGCCTGGCTGCAGTGGTGCATTCGCTGCTTCGCAGCAGCGTGGGTTCTCTTATGCACCATAGCAACCAGGGTCTTCTGCTTTGTCGGGTGCCCCAGCAAGGCCTCCAGGGGCGCCGCTGGCTCCGGGTCCGCGCCCTGGCGCGCCAGCTCAGCCCGGGTCGCCTCGAGCGCGGCTGCGGCCTGCGGCAGCGCCGCCAGCATGTCTGCAAGAGTGGAGACTCCTGAGACACCGAGGTCGCCCCGCACCTCCTCCGCCGCCTGCGTCCACGCCGCCCAGCAGGCGGGCGCCCGCCTCGTGGCCGCCCACTGCGCGCCGGCCCCTCCGAGTTTCGCCGGCAGGCCTAGCAGCTCGCACGCCTCTGGCCCGAGCGGCCGCCCCAGCAGCTTCTCCCAGCAGCCCCGCAGCGCGGCGTCGTAGCGGAAGGTATCCTCCCCCGCGGCCAAGGCCAGCTGCGAGTTGCGCTGGCTGGCGTTTCCGGCGTAGGTGTTGAGCAGCGCGCCCGCCGCCTGCCGTTTGAGCCCCCCTTGCAGCAGCCGCTCCAGGTTGGTCCAGAGCTTCTCGAGGCGCGCCGTGGCCCCGTCCAGCCCGCAGCCCTGCCCGCCGAGAGGGAGCGCCGTCCCGCCGGCGTCTCCTGGAGCCCGGAGCTGCGCGCCGAGGACTGGCAGCACGGGCACACACTTGCTCGCGAGCTCGGCCTCGACAGCTTGGACTCCCGCCGGGGACCAGACCAGCGTTTTGTCGTCGTTCAGCTCCAGCCCCAGCGGCGCGAGCACCTCGCGGAGGCCCGTCAGCGCGAGGGCGCCGAGGCCCGCCCGCACCACCAAGTAGGAGTCGTCGAGGTAGGAGCACAGGCGGGCGGCTGGGTCCAGCAGCTGCAGCCTGCGCAAGAGCTGCTCAAGGGCGCGCCGCTGCCCCACGGCGAACGCCGCCGGAGACAAGGGGTCTCCCTGATCGAACCCGCGCCGGCTCCAGACCGTTTCGAAGCGCCCGTCGGCCGTGCGCCAGTAGTGCTCTGCGGGGCCTGGGTACCAGGCCCTCAGGGCCGCCGCCACCTCGGGGACAGCTTCGCCCAAGGCCTCGAAAGCGGGGCCGCGGCGCATCCGTTGGAACGCGGCCTCGACGTCCACCTTGATGAACGTCGCGTTCGGCCGGGCCTCCGCGAGGGCCTGCAAGCTCTCTACCAGCACGTTCGCGCCGCCCTTGCGCCCGACGCCGTACTGGTGCTTCCCGGCAGCCTCAGTCAGGTGGGCCTTCCGCGCCCGCGCCAGCGCGCGCAGCCCCAGGCGGCGGAGCGTGGCGCCCACCAGCAGGGGTCTGACCTCGCCGGCGCCCTTCTCGGGCGCCACGAGCTCCCCCGTGCGCAGCGCCTCGAGGACCTCCCGCGGCAGCTCCCCGAAGGCGACCCTCGCGGCAGCCCGGGCGAGCAGCCGCGCCGTCTCGCCGTCGCTCGCCCCCAGGTGTTCCAGCCGCGTCCCCAGCAGGCCCGGCGCCGCCAGCCGGGGAGGGCGCCGCAGTAGTTTGCTCACCTCCTCCTCCGCCTCCTCTCTGAGCTCGGGGCTGGGCGGCGCGGAGGGCGGGGCAGGGCGCGGCGCCGCGCCGGCGCCGTCTCCGGGCTCGTCTGGCGGGAAGCTCGCCCGCAGTTTCTCCAGCGTGTCAGCCGCGCGCGGCGCCAGTTCGGTCTGCGCTGCTGCCGCCAGCGCGCGGGATTCCTCCCCGGCCGCAGCCAAAGTGTGCACCCGGTGCGTTTTCTGCTTGTTGGTTGTCTTCCTTGGTGGCGCTCGCGGGGGTGGGCCGTTCGTGGCCGAAGCCCACAGCTGAGCCCACTGTCCGCCCCACCATAACGCCAGCCGCTCTTCCAGTAGCTCTGCGCACGTCGGGCCCACCCCCCGGGGCCGAGCGAACAGCACCAAGTCGAACAGCAGAAGCATTTTCCACTCTGGTGTGGCATCCCCGTGTTGGCCCGCCTCTTCGAGCACCTCCAGCGCCTTGCGTCTCGCATGCGTCACCGCACCGCGAAACCTGTCTGGAACTTGCACGAATGTGGGGACCCCCGCGCGTAGGGCTGACTGCCACGCCAAACGCTGCCACCAGGCCCGGTCAGGAAGTGTCGTCTCGTCCCAGGCCGGATGCAACACCAGAACGTTGCACTGCTCCTGTTCCTGCTCGTGCCCCTGGCCGTCGCTGTTCCGGCTGGCGGCCGCCGAAGCCAACGCCGTGCGCGCCTCCTGGACGTGGACGTCCTGGGCACGAGGGGCCATAGGACGAATGTCATCGTCGGGGGCCGCCTTCGCAGAGACGCATCCCAAGCAAAGCCAGCTGTAGCGATGCCGGCTGCCCCACGGGCACATGCGCAGTTCCTCCGTCTCAAAAGGAATCGCGCAACGTTTGCAGGCAGCAGGCCGTTTGGAGGCGGGCTGCAAGCTCAAGGCCCACTCTCCGCGACGACGGCGGCGCCCTGGAGCGACTCCGCCGGCTGCAGCGCCTCCGCCAGCTGCGCCCTCCGCTGGCAGCATCTCCTCGTCGTCCTCGTCGTCGTCCCTCCCCTGAGCAGCGGCGGGCGCCGCCGCATCCGGCGCAGCGCCAGCCGCCGGCGCGGCGCCGAGGTCGACGTCGCGTTCCATGGCCCCGGAGTTGGGGAAGGAGGGGAAGGAAAGAAAGGGAGAGCAGGTGAGGAGGGAGGCGGCCGGGCAACGGCTGCGCGCGACTCGAGCCTCCTCCTCCTCCTCCTCCTCCTCCTCCTCCTCCTCCTCCTCCTCCACCTCCTTCCTTCCTCCAACTCATGGTGGTGGTGGTGGTGGTGGTGGTGGTGGTGGTGGTGGTGGTGGTGGTGAAAAACAGGCCCATCACAAGTAGCCGGGGGCGCGCGGCACTGACAGCAGCAACGCGCGCGACCAGGACAAGCGCAGGGCGCAACCGTGCCAGTGCGCGGGCGTCGCGAGCGCCGTCGGGCGTCAGTTGGGGGCCGCTGCCCCCTTGAGCGGAGACACGGGAATTCCGGCGCGGGGTGGAGCTAGTTCACGGACCCGGCCAGGGCGGACAATGTGGTATCTTTGGGTCGGTTGGGCGAACATGATGAGACATTTGACAATTCGTTTCGGGAACCCATATTTTTCTCACCTGTAATAGGTTATGTCGCGTCTGCCGATGAAATCTTCAGGCGGTCGTCGCCGCCGGCCGGCACGACCCAGGGGGGGGGGCCTCCCAGCGGCGCGCCATCCCCGCCGACGCCCACGATCGCGGGCGGCGGAGGCGGCTCCTCGCAGCGGGCCGGCCGGCGGAAGGAGGGGGCGGGCGTGGCGGAGGATCTGGCTGGAGGAGGGCAGAGGGCTATGGGGTTCCATGCCCCCAGAAGGGCCCGATGACCCTCAGAACGTGCGTTGGCGCCAGTGTGTGCTCGTCCACCGAAGCGCTTCAATACGACGCGGGCGGCTCAACGGGGGACAACTCAGACTGCACGCTGTCGGCGGGACCAAAATGGGTAAACCCACACTGGGCTGACACACGTGATGAGGACCATTTAAGGGCGCTCTGGGCGTCGATCGGTGCTGTCGCAGGCACCGTGGCACTGTCGATCGGGCCCTCCCCGCCCCCCACCCCCCTCCGCCTATCTCTCCGCCCTTGCGCGTGGCCTCGACGAGACGCAGCCTGCCCACGCCCAGTGTCTCTACTGCCTGGCGCAGCGATCCCGGAGCCCGATACCCCTCCTCTTCCTCCTCCTCCTCCTCCTCCTCCTCCTCCTCCACCTCCTCCTCCTCCTCCTCCTCCTCCTCCTCCTTGACCCTCTCACGTGAGACGAGCGTTTCCATATCCGCGCCCCCTCGGTCTGGATTCTGGAGCGCGATGCCGCGATTATCCGTTTCAGAAACCCATCAAGCTTCTGTGTTCGAAGCGGAGTCTCGGAGTCCTTTATGACCTGCTCCACGTCGTACGCAAGCTGCTTCAGGAAGGCGGGGGTCGGAGCCGCGGTGGTTGGGGACGCCGGGGCGCAGATATCAGAGCGACGACAAGCATTGTCAATTGTTACTCTGAGGCTGAGTTTCGCCTGCCCTGAAAATTGGCGCGTCGAGGAGAAAACACGTTCCACACACACACACACACACACACACACACACAAACACGCACGCACACACACACACACACACACACACACACACACACACACACACACACACACACACACCTCTCATGATGCCGCCACCATGCAACAGGCGCGAGGAAGTGCCGCTGTCAGGACGCAGCGGGCGCCCTCAGTACCAAGGCAAATGCGAGGGAAGGACTGCTACTTGTGACTCCACTTTACGTTATAAAAGGGACGGGGTCTCAACCCTCCCAGACGAGCAATTGTAAGATCCCCCAGACCAGCCATGAAAGGGCGGCCTTTGGCCCAGACTCACATGGAACCTCTCCAAGGCAGCACAAAAAGCAACCAAAGCCTGTGGCCGATGTCCGACGGAAGTTCCCCTTTGCGCGGAAGATGTGTTCATGAAAGTCCGCGAGGACCAAATCACTGAGTAACACCGCGTGGGAAAGAAACTTTGAGGGCGTCAAAAAGCGTTCGAAGCCCCTGCAAAGTGTCGAAGCAACGAAAACTGTGCCACTGGTCGATTATCCTGTGTTGGACGTCGTTCCATTGCGAGTGGGCCTTGTAAATATTGTGAGCCCATGCACAACTCCTCCTCCTCCTCCTCCTCCTCCTCCTCCTCCTCCTCCTCCTCCTCCCTCCTCCTCCTCCTCCTCCTCCTCCTCCTCCTCCTCCTCCTCCTCCTCCTCCTCCTCCTCCCCTCCTCCTCCTCTCCTCCTCCTCCTCCTCCTCCTCTCCTCCTCCTCCTCCTCCTCCTCCTCCTCCTCCTCGTCCCCCTCCCCCTCCTCCTCCTCCTCCTCCTCCTCCTCCTCCTCCTCCTCCTCCTCCTCCTCCTCCTCCTCCTCCTCAAGCCACGTCGGCTCGAGTGGCCCCCCGCAGCGCCGCTCGGCCGTCGTCCCGGGGCTTAATGTGGGGTGGTGCGCCGCTCCCTGCTGCTTGAGGTCCAGGTGTTCCTGGCAACGCCGGGTTGAATTCGTATGCCTCCCACTTCGATTGCATGCTGCAGCTCTTCGCTTTCCTGGTGGTCTTCCTCGTGTTCATGGGGCTGTGCTACTTAGCTGGCGGGCTGCTGGGCGTGCAGTTGCACGGTGTGCTCATCATGCCGGTACTTTGTTCGAGGCGTTTTTGTTATTGTTTGCGGGGCTGGGCTCATTTCCACTGGAGTGGTTTTGTTCAGTTGATTTTCTGGTGGGGGTTGGCTCAGTGCTTTTTGATGCAGGGCGAGGGACGAGCCGTGGCGGCTAGCATTCCCCTCGCCCAGGGCCTGGTGTGCCCTTGTGCCGTATCGGCGGCTGGTGGAGTCATGTGTGCGTTGTCGCGATGTGGATGTGGCCTTCGGCCTAGGCTTTCTGCGTGTCATTCGCATCCTGGCTCTTCTTCGTTGTCGTGCTGGTGCTGGCGGTGTTCTTCATCATGTATGCTCGCGCGTTGACGCGCGGCATTGTGCGGTGTGGTGGTCATGGCTGGCGGCTTTGGTACAGTATTTCAGCTTGGTGTTTCACGTTGTGTGTAGTATCAATTCCCTCTCTTGCTGGTGGTTGCAAGAAGCGTGAGCTCGCCACACATACCTTGGGAGTATTGCTGGAGTGGCAGTTTTTATTACGCACGGCGGGCAGCATTCGGCGGGTCTACTTCATCATTGTCTTCCTCGCCTTCGGCTTCCACATGTGGGTGGTGCTGTCGTGAAGCGGCCTGTGACAGGCTGCGTGAGATGTGTGTGGTGTGAAGCATGCGCCCTGGCTAGACCAGGTCCCCGCCGAGCGCTCATCATCATCCTCCTCCTCCTCCTCCTCCTCCTCCTCCTCCTCCTCCTCCTCCTCCTCCTCCTCTGAGGGAATACACACTCCGTGGACCTCTCCAGGGGTGCGCTCTGACCAGGGTGTCGAGACGACGACGGCCACGAGGGAAGCGAGGCAGTATCGGTACCTTGTCCTCCTCTGAAAATCGTTCCCTGCGAGAGCGGCGCCCATGCACCACACCATATTTGGACTCCCTTCTGGCCCCGCTCCAACGCGGCACGGTGCACAGCTTGCGTTCGACTCTGAGGGCCGAAACGAGTATGCACCGTACAGTTCCTGGGTCGAAGATCACCGACGCCTGGGGAGGCGCCAAAGCCGTACGGTGCATACACGCCGAGCTCCGGAAACCCTAAACCAAGAAGCCTTACCATCTCTTGGGAGGCAGACTTTTACTTCCGCCGACTTCCGCCAGCCTTCCGCCAGCTTCCGCCAGCGGAGGCGCCCTCGTTTTACTTCCGCCACCTGCCGCCGCCTTCCACCGAGGAGAAGATAACAACTCTTTCGGCAATCCAGAGCGGAAGCCCTCTCTGGAACGCACCACATGTCGTCCGCGAACTCCCCCCGCTTTGGCGGGAAGCGGGGGTCTGAACTAGTTGGGACCCCAGAAAATCTGTCTCGAGTGGGGGGGTGAAGACAAATCCACTAAAAAACAGTTCCTGGACCCCTCCCATGGTCCATCGTCAATTTTTCGCCCCGGATCGATTCCTGGCGGTCCCGGTCCCCGAAAACGGCCCCCGCACGCCGAAAACCAGTGCTGGGCCACCTCGCCCCCCAGCCGGCGCCCAGGAAGCCTCCCAGATGGGGTCCGAGAAGATGGGGTCGGAGGAGCGCGCTCGCCGATGCGACGCCATCCTCCGACCCCGCCCACTCGGACCCCACCTGGGAGGCCCAGAGCCCCTGGGAAACCCGCCGCGTCCTCGGCGGACCCGGGCAGACCCCCGCCAGCGCCAGGGAGCACCAGCGCCGCCTCCGCGGTCAGCCCGTAGCCAGGGGCCTCTCTGCCGCGGGGCAGCGGAGGTGCCGCCCTCCCAAGCGGCGCCGCGGCGGGCGGCGTCGACGCACGACGCACGACGCGCGGCGGCGGCGGCGGCGGCGACGGCGACGGCGACGGCGACGGCGACGGCGACGGCGACGGCGACGGCGACGGCGACGGCGACGGCGACGGCGACGGCGACGGCGACGACGACGACGACGACGACGACGACGACGACGACGACGACGACGACGACGACGACGACGACGACGACGGCGTCGGCGGCGGCGGTAGCGACGACGACGACGAAGACGACGACGCAAGACCACGGTCACGACCACGGCGACGACCATGCCGACGACCAAGCCGGCGACCACGATGCGACAAGCTACGGATGCGTGGATGGGGCACGCGCGCGCCGGATCCACAGATCGGGGAAGGTGCCCCACGAAACGTGAGAGGCAGGTGCCGCCTGATCTGGCGACGGAGCGTGCCAATTCTGCATGGAAGCGGCACCCGCCACCAATCCACTCGCCTTGATCCATATTTGTGTTTCCTCGAATAAGGACGCGCGGTAAGGATGCGAGGCCCCCTGGACGCCCAAGCTGAGGCTTCATCGGCTGCGCACGGCCGGTGGAATCAGCCGAGGACGGGCCGGAGAGGCAAGGGCGCAAGGACACCCTTGGGAAATTTGCTGGTCCATGCTGTGCGCGTCGACCGCATGACATGGTAGGGTGACGCACGACGACGACATCGACGGCGGCAGCGGCGTCGGCGACGACTGTGACCACAACAAACACAACGAGCACGCCCCTCCCCCGCCACCGCTGCCCCCTGGCCCTCCCCCTCGCAGTTGCCACCCCGCCTCCTCCTCCTCCTCCTCCTCCTCCTCCTCCTCCTCCTCCTCCTCCTCCTTCTCCTCCTCCTCCTCCTCCTCGTGCCCCCTGCTCCTGCTCCACCTCGCTCCCTACCCCCATGTCCTCCCACCTCCACCTCCTCCCCCTCCGTCTCCTCCTCCTCCTCATCCGAAGGGTCGATAGATCCAGGGCCTCATTCTCACCCGTATGTATTTATCCTTGTCCTCCTACTCCTCCTCCTCATCATCTTCTTCATCTTCCTCATCCTCATCACCATTATCACCACCACCACCACCACCACCAGCCATCACCACCACCACCACCATCACCACCGCCACCGTCACCGTCACTATCGCCATCACCATCACCATCACCATCACCGTCACGATCACGATCATCATCACCATCATCAGCATCATCATCATCAGCATTATCATCATCATCAGCATCATCAGCATCATCATCATTATCATCAGCAGCATCATCAGCAGCAGATCATCATTATCATCATCAGCATCATCATCAGCAGCACCATCATCATCATCATAATCATCATCGTCATCATCATCATCATCACCATCATCATCATCATCATCATCATCATCATCATCATCATCAGCATCATCATCATCATCACCATCGTCATCATCATCACCATCATCATCATCATCATCATCATCAGAATCATCAACATCAACATCAACATCAACATCAACATCAGCATCGTCAACAAAAGCATCGACACCATCATATTCGCCGTCCTGGCCCTCCTCGCCCTCCACCATTTCCCCTTCCCATGTTCTGTCAACCTGTATCCCCATCGTCTGCTGCAAGAATGGTCGACCTACCTATTGGGGGTCCCGAAACGGTGCGGTGCCAGACAGCACAGTGATCTCGGAATGCCCAAAGACCTCACCGCACGGTCTGTCAGCGCACGGCTTGGGGACATCGGAGGCGCCAATCGCCCGAGAAGTCCTCGTGGAACGACCCAAGTCCCAAAACGGCGTGGTCACACCCCCTGGCCACGTCACGATTCGCACCGGCGCCGTCTGGGAATTAGCCATTCCTCAAGCATTCCCAGCACAAGTCGTGACGTAACCGGCCCGCTCCCCGCCTCACCCACCTCCCTTGGTCACGCCGGAGTGCCAGCACGCGCCAGCGCGCCAACACGCCAGCGCCTGCTGGCACTCTGGAGTGCTGGCCGGGGAGCTGCCAGGTGCCGTGGTGGCAGAATAGGCAGCCTGAGGCGCTGGGCGGAGCTCTCGGTCGTCCGCACCGTCGTCGCGTGCGCCACCGAGCTGCCATGTATTTGTAGTGTATGGGCCACTGCTTGCGCAACCCCTCCTCCCAGGAGTGGCCGCCTTTTGCGCATCACTTCTGAAGGAGCTGTCCCGTTTGAGGCACACTGGGGGAGTGCGCCGTTCCCATCAAGGAGCTTCCGGCGGACACGCGGCCGCCGGAAGGAGGAGAGGGAAAAGGAAGCAGGCAGAGTGTGGCAGCGCCTCGACCTTCGCTTCGCGCGGACGAGCCCAAGAGCGGCAGCGCCACCAGCAGGCAGCCGCCCCTCGCACCCGATCCGAGGCGCTGCAGGAGCCGACTAGAGGTGGCGTAATCTGAACCCTAACCCCCACCAGCCAATCGATTCTTTTGAATCGCTGGGGGCTGGGGTGGAGTTCGGATTCCGCCACGTGTTCGATGAATTCCGAACCCTGCCCCCGCCGCCCACCGAGCTGCCTGAATCGTTGATCGGCGAGGGTAGGGTTTGGACTTCGCCGCCGAGACTCGGCGGGGGGGGAGGGGGGGCGAGCGCGAGGGAGACGGAGCGGGAATGAGCGGAGGGGAGCGGCTCCAAGGTCCGAGCGGACTGCCCGGATCGGCGCTGGGACCCCCTCCCCGGCGCGCAGAGCACGCCAGGGGCGGCGCCAGAGGCACCGCCAAGCAGGGGTCCAGCGCCGATCAAAGACATCCGCAAGGGCCTCCGCAAGTTTGTGATTGCGTATATGGCGTTTCCTGTTCTTCTTCGAAGGGAGTGCAGAGGCGACGGAGTCGGAAGGGGCGGGAATAGTGGCGGAGGAGGGCGACAAGTGAGGGGTGGGGTCAAGGTGGAGGGAGAGGCAGAGTGTTGAGAGGAGGGCGCCAGGAGCCCGAAAGCCCAGCTGATCGCTCTCGATCCATGCCTCCTCCTCCTCCTCCTCCTTTTCATTCCTCCTCAGGTCCTCGTTCTTCCTCGTTCCTCCTCAATCCTCCTTATTCCTCCTCATTCCTCCTCACTCCTCTTCATTCCTCCTCACTCCTCCTCATTCCGCCTCCTCCTCCTCCTCCTCCTCCTCCTCCTCCTCCTCCTCCTCCCTGCACCGATTTCTTCGGGGGGGCATTACTGATCCGCTCGCCGGCCCAGGCGGCCTCGTAGTCCTCGCCGGCGGAGCACAGCACTAGCTGGTCCTCGGGGGGCTCCGCTCGCGAGCACGACCGATATAGACCATCGACACACATGCATTCATCACACACACACACACACATGCACTGGCACCGATCAGTATAAGTGATGATGGTCGCGGCCTCATGGATAGTTACCAAGTCATGTGCCCAACCCATCCGATGCAAGTTCCACAATGTATGATTACCGATGGGCCCATGGGCCAATCCCAAACGGATTACGACATGTTTGCCAGCGCGAACCCAAAAATAGTGAGTCAATGCACCGTGGATGTGTCAAATATGTTGCGCAATGTGTACGGTGCAAACCATTTATGGTGCAAGCTACGTGGTGCAAGCTCTGTGGTGTAAGCTATGCGGTGCAAGCTATGTGGCTCAAGCTATGTGGTTCATCACATGTAGTACAAGCTGTGAGGCGCGAGCCGTGCGATGTAAGCTGTGTGGTGCAAGCTTGGGAGTGCGAAGCATGCGCTGCAGGGCATGTGGCGTATGCGACGTTGTGCAAGACGTGTCATTCCAGCCATGCAGCGCAGATGTGTGAAGTGTAGGACACGGCCGTCGCGCCAAGAGCAACACGGGTCTGTTTCTGGCCACAGCGGACCTCGGCCACGAGCAGGCTCCCCGGCCTGGGGACGAGGAGCGGCCCGAAGACAGAGCCCCTACCGAGCCCAGCGTGGTCCGTGTTTGGGCGCCTTGGCTGCACGCAGCCCACTGCATGTTGTGCCAGCTGTGTCGTGTGGGCGATGTGGTGCAACCAGTGTGGTGCAAGCTATTGTGGTGCGAGCTGTGCGTCGCAAGCTACGTGGTGTTCTTCATGCTGCATAAGCAATGCGGTGGGAGCTGAGGATAGGGCCCTGAGGACTCGGATTGGAAAAAAAGCACATACATAAGCAGTCTGCGGAAACCCAAGGAGCCATCAAGAAATTCTGACTCTCCTGCAGCATCCTGCGGGGTCATCAACACTTCTGAGGAATGCGAAAGAATCCAAGGAACCCAGATGAATTCTGGGGTATCCTGATGCTCAAGGGCATCTACAAAGTACGCAAAAACGTGGTTCAAGACGCAGGCACGACGCCATCACAGAGAGCTCAGTCCGCTGGAATCGCACAAGGGTGCCCGCTTTCGCAACATGTGTTTATTCTAGTTGTGTCAGTATTACTGGCGACTGTGGACAAACGCCTGGCACTGGAAAAACCAAACAGAGATACCCAATCAACCCTGGTCACCGAAGACGCGCTGCACGCAGACACCGCCATGCCGTTTTCCAGGGACTCAGGCACGCTCCAATTTGGTGGTGGCGGTTGGAAAAAAATAGCTAGAGTCTCAAAACAGTGCGGTGACAGACCGTGCGGTGACCTCGAAACCCCCCAAGACCTCACCGGACGGTCCGTCAACGCACGGTTTTGGAACCTCGGAGGCCCCAGTCGCCCGAGACATCCTCGGGGAACGACCCGAGTCCCAAAACCGTACGGTGACCCCGAATCCCCACCGACTCACCGCACGGTGTGGTCACCACCCCGTTTGGGGATCCCCCGAAAATACGGGCTGGAACTGCATTCCGGAAAAACTACTATTGCAAAGAAGAACAAACGCAATTACTGTTGGACCAGATGGTGAACCAATACAGTGCAGAAATCATGCAGTACATCTTGGGGGCCTCGTCAGTGTCGACGGGAACCCTCGCGCGGAGCTCACGCGAAGACTTGGCGAGGCCAAAGGCGTATTTCAAAAACTGCGCTTGGTTTGGAACCACGTCAATCTTAGCAAAACCCAGAAGCATCGTATGTTGGAGGCGTGAGTGTTCTCTAAACTTTTGTATGGGCTGGAATCGTGCATTCCCTTCAAGGTGGACAGAGACAGACTCGATGGATTCTAGGCAAGGTGACTGCGGAAAATACACCAGATTCTGCCAGCAATTGTATCCAGGCAGCTTAACCTCTACGGTAAGCTTGCCCGGGGCGCTCCAAAGAGCCTTCCTAAAGCAATGGTTTTCGAAAGTTGCCAGTCTTACCAGGTGGCGCCGCGGAAATGGAATACTCGACGCTCGCGAGGGCGGCCTCGATTACAGTGGACGTCTTACTTACACGCGCAAGCCTTGGCCGTAGCACGAGGCGACCGCGACAGGCTGCAAACCACATTGCAAAACCCTTCTGAGTGGCATTCGGCTGTGGCTCAACACTGTTCAGTCTGGTCTCGTTCTTCCCTTCCTCGTCCCCCTCCCTCCCCTCCCCTCCCCTCCCTCCCTCCCCCTTCCGGGCTGGTGCTCTGCCGTCCACCCTCGCGTTGCACCAGCATGCTAGTGCAATGCATTCCGAGGCCCGGCGATGCTCGCGCGCTTGCACACTTGAGCTCAACATGTTTCATGATCGCATGTGCCATTAGGTAGTTTGCCAATGCGCCGTCTGGGCGCGGCTTCTTTCGCCCGTTTCGTTCCGAGGATCCCGAAAGAATCCTGAGGGGGTCCAAAGGAATCTGCTTTCTTTCATTGAAAACTTAGTGGACATTTCCCAAAGAATCCTGGCGATTCCTTGGGGATCCCTGAGGAATCTCGGAGGATCCTGAGCAATCCTGGAGACTTCTCAGGCGTCCAAAGGAATCCTACGCCAGAAGAATTTCAAGCAGCCCAAAGGAATCACTAGGCATCCTGAAGAAGCAAGCCTTCGGAGTCTGCAGAAATTCTGAGGAACATGGAAGAATCTGAGCGAATCCTGAGACTCTGGAGGAATCCCGAGGAACACTTCAGAATTCTGGAGAAACCTGGGGGACCTGGCGATTCGCCAGCAATCCTGAGGACTCCTAAAGCGAAAGGAACACTGATTGATCCTGAAGAGTTCTGAACAGCCTGGGGATCCCGCGGAAAAGAGAGGCACCTAAAGGACTCCTGCATGCTTCTTGAGAAGGTTTGAAAATCCTGGGACCTCCTGAAGAGTCCTTACGAATCCTGGAGGCAGAACCGGGAAAATCCAATCCTGAGGCAGCTTGAGGATGACTACCTACCAGACCACCCCAACCCAACCCGAAGACCCGAATTTCGGGTTGGGGGGGGTAAGGGTTCCACGCGTGTTTTTTCGATGTTCCCCGACCCCCCCACACTGGAAATCGACGGTAAATTTGAGCCTTCGGGTTGGGTTGGGGTGGTTTGGTGGGTGGTGAGAGGAATTCTGAGGAAGCCGGAAGAATGCGGAGGACTCCTTGGGAACCGTCGGAAGTCCTGAAGAATTGCGAAGAATCCTCAAGGACCTTGAAGAATCCTGCGGATTCCCCAGGAATTGACAGGGATCTCTGAAGAGGCCTCTCGGAAGCCCTGCCTCTTCGAGGCTCTCGGGAGGCCTCCTGGAATCTCTTGCGAGGCCTCTTGAAAGCTTACGGGAGGCCTCGTGGAAGCTTTGATACCTCTTGGGAGGTCTACAGAGACTTCTTCTAAGCTGCTACAAACTCTACTGTAATATCTGAAGAGGCCTCCTGGAAGCTCTTAAGCGCCCTGATGAGCGCCCTTGGCGGGCCTTTCGGAAGCTCTTAGGGCCTTCTTGAAAGTTCGAAAAATACTTTTTAGAAGCTTGGAAGAGACCACGGTCCTGTCTATCAGGCTGTGATCCGTCCGCTTCTGGTGGTTGTCATCCGTCTGAAAATAGCTGGTGGTCAGTCTCTAGTAATTGCAATCCATCTTTTATTCTCGGATCCGCCGCCCACGCCCCTCATACGTCATATCTGCAGCTGATGGCGGCCAAAGACAGGAGTCAGCGCCCGGCGGTCTGCGAATGGGAGGGGTTCGCCCGACGAGCCCGCAGCCGACGGTGCGCCATTGCCGATCGACCTCGGCCGGCTCGGTCGGCGGCGAGATTTGGACGTCCGACATGGACATGAAAAACATGGGTACGATGATCATCATTTGATGGGTCGATTTGGACGTCCAGCATTTGATGTTAGGCATTACCTCACATCAAATGCTGCCCAACACCAACAGCGGCCGCTAGTGGGCAGCCAGCCATCTGTCTCAACTGGACAACATCCGTGGGGAAACCGACAGCGGGTCCTTGTCAAAATGAACAGGCACTGCTGTCCATCTTCGTACCCACTCTTTCCGTACCCATGTCGATCGCACCGAAGCTCGATCGACCCGGCTGACCAAAGCCGATCAGCCTTGACCAACACCAGCGCCGAGGCGCCCCCGCCGCCAAAGCAGAACGCGCCGGCGGGCAGGGCCACCCCAGGGCGGTGACCGCCCGGCGCTCGGCGCCGGCGTGCAGGCCCGCTCTGGCGAACCTTTTTCGTCGGCGGCCAGGCAGGGGTTCGTCTGCGCTGGCGAGGTGAGCTAACCAGGGGCGCCGTGGAAGCGACCTGGCCACCATGCAGGAGAGGGAAAAAAGGTGGGGGGTCGCAGGCCTAGAGATTGACACCAACACCAAGATCGGCGGTGTGCCTCCACCGAGGGGAAAAGGTCCCGATCTCGGCGATGGTGGTAGTATTCTGGCTTCCAAGGTGGCCGAACTATTACCACCAACACCGAAAATCTAGGATCATCTTCCCCCTGTGGAGGCAACCCTCTGTCTTGGTGTTGGTGCCAATTTCCAGGCCTACGAGGGGGGGGGGGGAGAAGAGGGGGGGAGGGGGGCAAGGGCCACTCAGGGGCGGACGGGTCTCGCCCCCCGCTCTTGCGAAACAGCAAGGCACCGATGCCACTCCTCCTCCTCCTCCTCCTCCTCCTCCTCCTCCTCCTCCTCCTCCTCCTCCTCCTCCTCCTCCCCTCCTCCTGCTCCTGCTCCTGCTCCTCCTCCTCCTCCTCCTCCTCCTCCTCCTCCTCCTCCTCCTCCTCCTCCTCCTCCTCCTCCTCCTCCTCCTCCTCCTCCCCAGCCCTCGCGCAGGGCACGCCCTCGCCCAGGGACCGCGCTCGGCGCAGAAATCCGGGCGCGGCGGCGAGTGCTCGCCAGGGCGAGCAGCCCCAGACATCCGATGTCCTCGTGTTTGTCCACACGGGGTCCGCCAAAATTCCCAGTCCCCTCCCCAGA